CTGCATCCAAACTCAGCGTATCTCCCTAAGGTGATACCTTCTAACTACAGCTCCATGTCTATTGAGCTTTCTAGTTTTTATCCTTCCCCTTTTGCATCTTAGGAACAGAGGAGGTTACATTCTTTGTGTCCTCTACGTGCACTGCATATTTACATTGACKGCACACAGGAGGTGAGGTCATGTGATCAGCTGTTTGTGTATGTTGCTAACCCACTCAGGGGCAGAGCTCTGTCCAGACAGAGACTCTCCCACTGGATTGTGGAGGCTATCTTGTTAGCTTACAGCAGCAGGGGTCTCCCAGTCCCAACTGGTGTCAGAGCTCACTCCACCAGGGGTGTAGCAGCGTCCTGGGCCCTATTTAAAGGGGTACCTGTGAGTGGCATCTGTGCTGCGGCCAGCTGGTCTTCACCGCACACATTTGTTCAGTTTTATCGCTTAGATGTGACAGCCCCCTCGGTGGCTCACTCTGTGCTCTCCGCTGGGTCTGATGTGCTGCACTAGAATGTTAATATGACCCAAGTTTGGTGCTGCTCTGCGGGGCGTTTATATACTGTATGTCCCATACATGATGTTGTACCGAGTGAATTGACTGAAAGGGAACGTAATGTTATGCATATAAATACTGTTCCCTGAAGGAAATGAACGTGGTACAACACATGGTGGCCCCGCTGCACAGCTGGTCTCGGTGAAGAGCAGTTACCGAACTGAGGAGTGACTGTGATGCGACAGTATATATATGTGCAGGCGGAGCCTGACATCTGTCGTCATCACATCACCTGCCTAAAGGCATGATTAGAGGTGGCTTCAGCCAGGACACGCAGGAGCGTGGGTTCCCATACATGATGTTGTACCTCGTTCCTTTCCTTCAGGGAACAGTAGTTATATGCATAACATTACGTTTGCCTGGGGGTAAATTACCTGCTGATTATAACTGTCCTCTGTTATGTGGATGAGAGAAGAGAGAAGAGCTGCTTCAGCAGCTCTCCTCCTGTCCAAACGCGCAGCGCTTTCACAGAGGGACAGCGCACAGGAGTGCACGTGTGTGTGGTGAATGGAGGGTGTGTGGGCAATTTTATTATTAATAATATTAATACTGTTGCCATTATAGTTGTATACACTTAATAAGAGGTTGTGGAAGTCGCCTTTTTGGCGGAAAAAAACTAGCCGAAAACTTCTCACATTAAGACTCTTTGAGTCGCATTTATTAACCAAGAACCAACATGGCGCTGCGCATGCGTAGGCAAAAAACCCGCCTCAGAAACGTCATCACTCTTAAAGAGACCGCAACTATTACCTGGATCATAACATTAATAACATTATACATAACGGAACCATAACAGAAAGTGAATTATGCAGTCAGTATTGAGAGCACTATACACGCCCCCCCCAGAATTAACTGTGACAGAAAACCAGGGAGAAAAATATTTAAAAAAAAAACAACAACAACTTATTAATGGCATGGGGGTCGAATCAAACGTCCAGTATGGCTCCGCCGAATGGGGGAGGGTGCAGCCACCCCCTCATTGGCTGTCTGCGGGGGACCCTTGCTGCATGGTCGAGGGGCAGGAGGAACGGAAAAAGGGGTCCTAGTCATAGGCCGTCCTCGTTTTGGGGGTTGCGCTAAGTCCACTGGTCTAGCCAGATCCAAGTGAGCTGGTTTAAGGCGGTCCACAGATACACACTCTGGTTTACCTCCAATGTCCACTACAAAGTGCTTGTCCCCAGTTTCCACAACCCGAAAAGGGCCCTCGTAAGGTGGGCGGAGAGGTCCGCGGTGACTATCAATTCGAATGAAAACATAGCCAGCAGACTGTAGGCCACTGGGGACGTGAGAGGTCGGTAAACCATGGCAGGAGGTAGGAAGTGGAGCAAAAAGCCTGGCATTGTCCAACAGGTTGGAGCGCTGGAGTGCAGCTGARCAAGGGGTCGTAGTGCTGGGGACGAACTCGCCAGGGACCCGTAGTGGCTGACCATACACCAGCTCTGCYGAGGAGGCCTGGAGGTCTTCCTTTGGTGCTGTCCTGATGCCCAGCATGACCCATGGGAGCCTGTCAACCCAGGAACTGTCCTTCAGGCTGGCACGCAGGGATGCCTTCATGGACCTGTGAAAACGTTCACAGAGGCCATTACTCTGGGGGTGGTAGGCCGTGGTGCGGTGGAGCTTAACCCCTAAGCTCCCTGCGACAGTGTTCCAAAGTTCAGAGGTAAACTGAACGCCACGGTTTGAGGAAATGTCCGATGGGATGCCAAAACGGGACACCCAGGTGCCGATGAATGCCCGTGCCACATCAGCTGAAGTTATGGACGACAACGGAACAGCCTCTGCCCACCGCGTAGTCCTGTCGACCATAATGAGCACGTGGGTGTAACCCTGCGAGGGTGGWAGTGGGCCCACTAGGTCAATGTTAACGTGGTCAAAACGTCGTTCCGGCACCTGGAATDGTTGCAGTGGTGCTTTGGTGTGACGGTGGACTTTGGCACGTTGGCACGCCACACAGGTGTTCGCCCAGTCCCTCACGTCCTTCTTAAGTCCGGGCCATACAAACTTGGCTGCCACCAGCCGTTGTGAGGCCTTGGTGCCAGGGTGTGAAAGGCCATGGATGGCGTCAAACACAGGACGCCTCCAKTTCGCAGGTACAACAGGCCTAGGACACCCCATGGATATGTCACAAAGCAGAGTGGTGCCAGCCTCGTTGAACATCACATCCTGCAGCTGCAGCACAGTAGTGGATGAATGGAAAGTCTGCATGTCTGGGTCCGTGGCCTGCTCTGCTGCCATGCTGTCGTAGTCCAGGCCGAGGTGGACCGCCCCTGCAACAGCARGGGAAAGGCAGTCTGCGACATGGTTGTGTTTCCCAGAAAGGTGTGTAATGTCCGTCGTGAACTCAGAAATGTAAGCTAGCTGCCACTGTTGCCTGCCGGACCATGGCTGAGTGACTTTYGACATGGCAAAAGTTAGTGGCTTGTGGTCCACAAAGACAGRGAATTGGCGTCCCTCCAGCAGTGAACGAAAGTGTCGGATAGCAAGGTACACTCCAAGGAGCTCCCGGTCGAAGGTGCTATACTTCCGTTCACTGGGACGCAACTGCCTGCTGAAAAAGGCGAGAGGCTACCAAGCGTTACCCACCCACTGCTCATAGACCGCACCGACTGCGTAGTCTGAGGCGTCTGTGGTCAGTGCGATTGGGGCYGAGTAGGCGGGATGGGCCAACATGGTGGCCTTAGCTAGGGCTGTCTTAGCGTCCACAAAAGCGTTGTGTCTTTCTGGGCTACAGTCTACAGTGTGCTTGGGCTTTCGGCCCTTCAGAGCCTCATACAAGGGTRGCATGGTTTGGGCGGCCTTGGGGAGGAAACGGTGGTAGAAGTTGACCATGCCTAGGAACTCCTGTAAGGCTTTGATGGTGACTGGGCGTGGAAAAGTGGTGATGGCCTCCACTTTTGACGGAAGAGGGAGGACCCCGTCCTTTGTGACTCTGTGCCCRAGAAAGTCTATGGTGGACAGTCCGAACTCACACTTAGCTGGATTGATGATGAGCCCATGTTCGGTAAGCCGCTCGAACAGAGTGCGAAGGTGCAAAAGGTGCTCTGAAGGTGATGAACTGGCCACCAGGATGTCGTCAAGGTACACAAACAGGAAAGGCAGATCCCGTAACACAGAGTCCATGAGCRGCTGGAAAGTTTGAGCAGCATTCTTGAGGCCAAACYGTGTGCGCAGGAACTCGAACAAACCAAACGGCGTGATGACAGCTGTTTTTGGGATGTCGAGAGGGTGAACTGGCACTTGATGGTACCCTCTAATCAGGTCCACCTTGGAAAAAATGACCTTACCCGCCAGGTGCGCTGAAAAATCCTGGATGTGSGGCACTGGGTAGCGGTCAGGAGTTGTTGCGTCGTTGAGCCGCCGGTAGTCCCCGCAAGGARGCCAGCCCCCACCCGGTTTGGGGACGAGGTGCAGGGGGAGGCCCAAGGGCTGTTGGAGCGTCGAACAATCCCCAGGCATTCCATGGACTCGAACTCACTCTTGGCTACGGCGAGCTTGTTTGGTTCGAGACGTCGAGTGCGGGCGTATACAGGAGGGCCAGTGGTGTCAATGTGGTGCTCGACACCGTGCTTGGCTGTGGAAGAGGAGAAAGTGGGCTGCGTGAGCGCTGGGAACTCGGCGAGCAGACGCTGGAAACTGTTTGTGACCGAGAGCAGGCTGGAGAGGTGTACTGCGCTAGAGTCGCTGAGCGCGCAGGCATAAGAACAGAAAGTGAAGGCATCAATCAAGCGCTGATTTTTGATGTCCACCAACAGTCCATAAGTACACAAAAAATCTGATCCTAAGAGGGGAACAGCGACTTTGGCTGTTACGTACAAAGTCCCAGCCAAAGCGTTGGCCCCCAAAACACAGTTCAACATGCCTCGTGCCATACGTACGAATGGGGCTGCCGTTAGCGGCTTCCATGGGGGGGCCGTGGGTGTCAGCCGCAACGTCCACTTGTGAAGCAGGCAGTAGACTTCTCTGTGCCCCTGTATTGCAGAGGAAATGCCAGCCGGAGATGGAGTCGTGGATYAAGAGCAGCCTGCCGGCATGGCCGACGCTCACGGCCACTAGTGAGCGCCGGCCTTGGCGTTTCCCACTCCGCCGAAACTGCATGGAGAGCGGCAGCGCTTGGCCTTGGGGCCAAACCTGGRATGGTAGAAGCACACACCTGAAGACTGCTGGCGACGTGGGGCTGCTGCTGCGACGAGCCTGCAGTCATCCGGTACGTCAGAAACAGCACCAGCAGGGAGGAGTGCCGCTGCGCAGGGCTGCTGACTAGCCAGGAAACACTTATCAGCCTCTGCAGCCAGTACTCTGCAATCCGTGCTGGCAGTGTTGGCCAAAGCAGCTCTCACATGAGCAGGCAGTTGGCGCAGGAAAAGGTGGAGGAAAAGGAAATCTGGCCTGTTGTCCCCAAGCAAATCTAGCATTCGGTCCATTAGCTCTGAGGGCTTGCTATCACCGAGCCCTTGAAGAGAGAAAAGCCTATTGGCTCTTTCAGCGTCAGACAGTTTGAATGTTTTTAGTAAGTATTCCTTCAGAGTTTCATATTTTCTTGCCGGAGGAGGATGTTTAAGAAGGCTCACCACTCTCGCTGCTGTAGAACTTCCGAGGGCAGATACCACGTAGTAGTATTTCGTTTCGGCGGCGGTAATCTGACGTAAGGCAAACTGCACCTCAGTCTGAGCGAACCAGGCCGAAGTGGAAAATTCCCAGAATTTGGGGAGCTTGAGCGACACAGAGTTGGCGGTCTTGGCGATCTGGATACGTCCAGAAACAAACGTCGGGGTCACCAGTGTGGAAGTCGCCTTTTTGGCGGAAAAAACGAGCCGAAAACTTCTCACATTAAGACTGAGTTGCATTTATTAACCAAGAACCAACATGGCGCTGCGCATGCGTAGGCCAAAAACCCGCCTCAGAAACGTCATCTCTTAAAGAGACCGCAACTATTACCTGGATCATAACATTATACATAAGGGAACCATAACAGAAAGTGAATTATGCAGTCAGTATTGAGAGCACTATAAGGTGCAACCAAGGGCGACAGATGGAGCATAACAAAAAAAATGCGGGTTCGACAGGGGCACTTGATGGTCTGGAGGGAAAAGTGCAGGTGCTCAAGCACCACCTGACATCTACCTGTGCACGTCCCTGATCAGATGGGAATCTTTTATTTATTTTAGATTAAATAAGACACCTCCTCCTTTATGTAGACATGCTCCATGCGTAAAGATGAAGCTGATGAATGTGATGTGATGTGTAATGCCACAGATCTGCTGTCTTGTGAAGCCTCATTGCAGCCTGGATCTCAATGCTGCAGATCAAGTGCTTTCCCCTATCAAAGGGCAGCGAGCTGACCACTTCAGCTCTGTGTCCTGGAGGAGGATCTACACTCACTCTGTCTAAATTCATATTATCAGGCATGTTGATAAGTGCCTTCCAACCTAGGTGGTAGACCTCCTAAATGTTTAATCTGGATTTTATTTATTTTCAGCTAGAAAGCTTTAGCAAAACTACCTCATTGTCAAGGAAACCGTAAACATCCAGGAACCGTGGGTGTAAAGGCTCCGTGACTGTCACCAAGCTGTGGCACCGATTGGAGAACAAGTAATGCAGCCCTATGTTTGTATTTCAGGCCAAACTGGAAATAAAGCTCAATTATGTCACGTATTTCCATTTCACTAAACGCAGCTAGTCCAAAATGATCTGAAAGATATTGTGTGAGTTATCTCGTGCGCACGACTTAGTAACTAGTGGGAACAAGATACTAACTCGTGCGCACGACTTAGCAAATGGTGGGAACAAGATACTAACTCGTGCGCACGACTTAGTAACTGGTGGGAACGAGATAGTTTTTTTTTTCAATCCATGTCCCTTTAGGGGCTCAGTAATATCCTGTTCTCCTGAAGGCAGAGCCGCGCAACACGAAGCGGACAGAAACCGATGAGAAGAGAAACATGATACAGTTACAGTGCTATGCATGTTTTAATGTTACAGACCCCCATTTTTCACAAACAGTTCAAAGTTTAAACTGCTGTTGTTGTGAATCTTTGGTGAAATTTTTACCTTCAAGCAAATGCCCCCCAAACCAAGGAGGTGCTATAGAACGGCTGGAGTGCGCAAAGACCACGTGACCGTGTGATCGGCTGGAGAAGCTAACGGCTAACGCTAAACGGMCAAGAGTCTGGATTTCCCATTACTGTACATGTTGACAACAGAGCATAAAAAAGGACTGTCGATGTAGAAATCATAAAAACTATTAATAATAATATTAATCCAATTATTATTAATATTTTACAGTTTATATAATCTATCTAATGTTTTAAATAATGCCAGAAAAGCTGTTTGTGTTATGGATTTATTAACAGAAGATAAACAGGAAAATGTCTCATTTTACAACACAAGTCAGCAGATTTGATCTTATTTAGCGCAATGAGGTCAGAGCAGAACTGAAGCTAATAATATAACAGTTTAAAATCAAACTAATCTCATGAAGTCGCTGTAATC